CGTCGTCGTCTCTCTCTCTCTCTCTCTCTCTCTCTCTCTCTCTCTCTCTCTCTCTCTCTCTCTCTCTCTCTCTCTCAAACTGCACTTGTATGTGTTGTTGCTCATGCGTGCCGTCTCTGCATGAACGCAATACGATGCAGGGTTTGACGTTGAGATTTTGCACGCGTCCACACCCACACCGTCAACAACAACAACAACAACAACAACAACAACAACAACAACAACAACAACAACAACAACAACAACAACAACAACAACAACTGCAGCAGCAGCAACAACAACAACAACAACAGCAGCAGCAGCAGCAGCAGCAACAACAACAACAACGCAAGTGGTCCCGAGCACAACACAGGCAATAACCGCTGCTACAATAACAGCTACAACAACTGCAACACAGGCAGCAGCAACAATGACGACCATGACCACCACCACAGCAACACCAACAACGCCTGTTTCGTCTTCCAGCAGTACCACGACGCTGGCTCCTGCTGGTCAGCCTGGCTCATCCTCCGCAGCGTCCGTGCCCCTGATTGCCGGCGCTGCTGGTGGCGGCCTCCTCGTCATCATCGTCGCGTGTATCCTCATCATCGCTGCACTGCGCAGGCGCCGGTCACACTCCAAGACAGCGTCAACGCTGCACCTCCACGCCCGACAGCCGGTGTGTGTATGTGTGTGTGATGCTGTATGTGTATGTGTGTGTGTGCGTATGTATGTGCGCATGTACGTGTGTGTGTATGTGTGTCTGTCTGTCTGTGTGTCCGTCTGTCCGCCCATGTTATTTGACAATCCCTGTGATGTCATGTCCCAACCCTTGCACCGACCCTTCGTGGTGCTGTCGCTGCCACTGTCCACGATCTCGCGTGCTCGCCTGCATGCACGCTCGCACTCATGCCCTCCCCTCCATCCCCATCTCACAGGTCCAGCAGGACCAGAGCAGCATGTATATGAACCCAGCGTACGAGAATGCCAACGCAGACGTACTCAACAAGTACGACACAACGCGCGCCCCGCTCTCAGGGACAACGCAGCCGCCACTGTCATCATCCTCCGGTGCACCTGCTGGTGCCGCACACGATGACGCCACGTACACCATCCCGCACTACGCTGCACTCTATGCACAGGGCCACAACAACCAGGGGCGCAGCCACGGCAGGAACCACCACGACAGCAACCACAGCAGGAACAGCGGTGGTGATGGTCAGCACTACAGCATGCCTGGAGCGGCAGACCACCGCGTGTACATGCAGCCGGTAACATCGCTGCCGTCATCACTGCACGGTGGCGATGGGTATCTCGTGCCAGCTACTCAACATCGCAGAATTGGTGGTGGTGGTGGTGATGCAAACCACGTGCGGGACTACATGGAGCCTGTTGTGTCTGGCGTGGTGCCTGCTGACTACAGCGAGCTCGATGGCACGCACGTCCAATATGTGCCGTCGTACGCCGTTGCGGGCGATATGGAGAGCGGCTACATCGAACAGCAGGGAAACGCGGGCGTATACAGTGTGGCAACGGCCGCGGTGATGGGGGACGCTGGTGACACTGGCGCTGCATATGAGGTAGTGGGGCGCAGACAACAACACCGAGGCCATCACCAAGGTCGCACGCGCGCGTATGATGATGATGGCGCCGTGTCCACAGCAGCGATTGCCACCGCTGATGACCCAGATTATGTGGACGGGGCGACGTTACAGGAGGACCTGCCTGTGGAGATGTACAGGGATGTGGAGCCGAGGAGGAGACGAGTGCCATCACTCTCACTTTCACGTTCCCGCGGTGGTGATGGTGATGATGATGGTGGTGATGTGGCCGTGTGACCGCAAAGGTTTGAGACAATGATACATAGCTGAAGCGTTCATTATGCGTGAGGAGTAAAAGAAGGTGTGTGTGTATGCATAGGTATCGTGCGTTGACTTTGTTGTTTATGTTGAAGAATGATTGAACAACCCCCAATGACAGCAGAGTAGAAGAACAAGAACAAGAAGAACAAGAACAAGAAGAACAAGAAGAAGAAGAAGACAAGAAAGCAAACACTCGAAGCGTCGTGAGCTGCTGGAGAGGGAACAGAAGAGAGTGTAAGTACGACAGGCCACAAAGCCACTGTTACATCCTTACATCGCAGGCAGGCCATGATTGCCACGGTAAACGAGGGAGTGGTCGGAGGACACGCAATGGTTGCGGTCGGTGTTACTACAGTGAACATGAGCAGCCACCTTCTAACGCACGTAGAGCTCGACGAAAGTTGCAGAGGGGTTTCCTCCAAGGAAGCCAAGCGCAGGTCTCTCGGAAGTCGGACTACTCGAAAGTGGCCCGAAAGATCCACTTCCTCCAACATCGTCCAGAGGGCATCCATCCAAGCCGCCGAAGCTCCAGGCAAAACCGCATGTTTTTTCGTGTTTGATCAGGTCCCCATCGTCAGGGTTAACATACAATTTGACATCGCAGCGATATGGATTGTCTGTGATGTTCATTTGGGTGGCAGAGTATACTGGACAGCTGGAGGAGCATGGGATGGTAACATCTGTAAATAGAGATGAAAGCGGCTGTTTGTCCAAAGCATTCTCATATGCAATCCACTCCCCAGTATCTGCGATGAAGAGCAAGTCTTTGGTTGGGCCAAACCATGCTGTCCCTTTGAAGTCGCTGCTGCTTCGCATGAGTCCCACCAGTTGATGGTTTGACCACAGATTGCAGTCATTCCACGTCCACGTATCCACGCCATCGTTGGAGAAGCGGGCTGCCAGCGTCCACGGGCGTGTATCGCCACCTGCAATGTGTGACTCGCACGTGTGCCCAAGCAAGGCAGCTACGTCAAGTCCAATCGCGCACGGTTGGGAGTAGCCTTCGGCACGGACAACACTCACAATTGAGGTGACCGTGCGGTGCAGTGCTTGCACGTCGACGCCATTCACGAGCACAGGCTGGGAAGAGTCCGTGGTGTTGATGATGAGGCGACTATGGTCATCCTCCTCCAACACGGCTTCGCCAGTGCATGGCCCAGCCAGCGCAGCCAGAACCAACACACTGAGGACGAGGCTCAGGGTGCTGGTGTGCGAGGAGGTCAGGATGGTCGTCCGGATCTCGCGTTTTGGCATCATTCATATGAGAGGGTGCTTGACGAACAGGTGAAAAGTGCCCACGTCATGTTGTCATGTCACCACAAATTTTCGCCACTTGGCAACCTCGCGTGTTGAGTTACTCCACTCTCCACTGCACTTTCTTTTCTCAACTCAGCATCCTCCCCTCCCTTCCACTTCCCTGCTTCCTCCTCCTCACCTCCTCTCCTCACGACCTTACTGGTTGAATTGTTGACGACAAGAAAACCTCACCATGGCCGATGGCAACGACGAGCACCGCCTGACGGACGGCGTGTCTGTGGAGGCGATCAAGACCTTCCTCGCAGACCTGACGAAGGAGTTTCCCGACACGTACACTGAGATGACAACAGCGGATGCCTGCAAGCAACTCGTGGTGCCACGCACACAACAGGCCAGCTGCGCCTACGTCGATCTCTTGCGCAAGCAGTCACCATGCACCGACGTGGGCAAGGCCACTGTGTTTGTGTCGCACGCGTGGCGGTACAAGATCGCAGACGTGTTGAACGTCTTGCTCGAGTTTGCGGAGGAGCAAGCAAGCAAGGAAGACGGCCAGCCCGTGTTCTTCTGGTTTGACCTCTTCATGAACAACCAAAACGCCAATGTCACGGCGAACCTCCCACAAGAGTGGTGCGTTTTGTGTGTGTGTGTGTGTATGTGTGTGTGTGTTTGTCAATGTGTGTGTGTGTGTGAGTGTGTTTGTCAATGTGTGTGTGTACAGCTGTGTGTGTGTGTGTGAAAACCTGTGTGTGTGTGTGTGTGCAGCTGTGTGTGGATTGGTAGTGCAATGTTTCTTGCGCACGCCCTCACACGCTCTCTCCTTTCACACGCCCTCTCCTCCCTCCCTTCCACCCCAACACCCTCGCCCACCACACACCCGCAGGTGGAGCACGACGTTCAAGGAGTCGATTGCCAACATTGGACGCGTGCTGCTGGTGTTGATGCCGTGGCGAGACCCCGTGCCACTGACGCGTGCGTGGTGCCTGTGGGAGATCTTCTGCGGCATCAGCAACGAGGGCACAGAGGTCAACATCCGCCTGCCCAAAAGCGAGGAGAAGGCGCTGGAACGGGCCATCCAAGGCGAGTATGAAGCCGTCACGGATACGCTGGTGCGCGTGCAAGCCGAGCGTGCGGAGGCCTTCAACCCAAATGACAAGGCCATGATCTTTCAAGCCACCCAGGACAGCGTTGGCTTTGCGGCTCTCAACCAGGCCGTCAAGGACCAGCTGCGCGCGTGGTGCTTGGAGAAGGCGGCGGCTGCGGTGGAGGCCATGCAGGCAAGGGGCGAAGACAACACAGGGGCGTTCGCGGTGTTGTGTGGTCAAGTTGGGACTGTGCTGAACACGTTTGGCGAGCACGGCAGGGCAGTCGCGTACTACGAGGCAGCTCTGGCGACCTATCTACGCATTGAAGGGGAAAAGGGAGAGAACGTGGCTGGGTTGTACAACAACCTCGGCCTTGCCTACGATGACAAGGGGGACAACGATAAGGCGATTGCATACTTTGAGAAGGCCCGTGAAATCTTGGTGGGCAAGCTGGGCGAGAAGCACCCGAGCACAGCAAGCACGTACAACAACCTCGGCAACGCGTACAGCATCAAGGGCGAGCATGATAAGGCGATTACCTATTACGAAAAGGACCTCGCTATCACCACTCAGACGTTGGGCGAGAAGCACCCGAGCACAGCGACGGCCTACAACAACCTCGGCAATGCTTACTGCAGCAAGGGTGAGTATGACAAGGCCATTGACCATTACGAAAAGGACCTTGCCATCACCATTCAGACGCTGGGCGAGAAGCACCCGAGTACAGCTGAGACCTACAACAACCTCGGCAATGCTTACTGCAGCAAGGGTGAGCATGAAAAGGCGATTGCCTATTACGAAAAGGACCTCGCTATCACCACTCAGACGTTGGGCGAGAAGCACCCGAGCACAGCGATGACACTGACCAACATCGCCTTCGTGCATGCTGAACTTGGCGACAAGGAGCAGGCCTGTGCCTACATGCAACGGGCACTGGACGTCTTCACAGCCACGGTTGGACCAGACCACCCTTCCACGCAAAGAGCTGAGCACGACCTGAGGCGCATTCGCCATGCTGGTGTGGATGTGCCGAGTGGCTCAAGCCGTTGCTGCAGTATCTTGTGAGTGTGTGTGTGTGTGTGTGTGTGAGTGTGAGTGTGTGTGTGTGTGTGTGTGTGTGTTTGTGTGAGTGTGTGTGAGTGTGTGAGTGTGTGAGTGTGTGAGTGTGTGAGTGCGTTTCTGTTTGACGACGTGCTGCAAACCTACGCACCCCCTTTCGAGCGTGCTGAGGAGGTGCATGGCGCCGTTGCCAGGCGAGCCTTCATCTTCCGCCCGGATGATGACCGCTCTGACACCACGCTCGCTGACTGGTGCAGTGCCATCTCCATGCTGTTGTTGTGAGTGTGGCTTGCTGCGTTCAGTGGTGTGCGTGTGCGTGTGTGCGTGTTTGGATTCATTGCCCTCGGTGTCCTCCGCACAGGCACATGTGGCTTTGTTTTGTTCCAGTCCCCCGTTGTCGCGATTACAGCGTCGTACGAACTCGCCGCCAGGCACAATCCTACAATCACAGCCGAGTGAAGGAGTGAGAGGCCTAGAGGCGCTGAGGAGATCGAAGCACGCACATGCACGCGCTTGCCACTGCTTGCAAGCACACACCGAACTGACATCAGTCTCAAGTACTGAATTCAGTGATTGCTGACACACAAACAAACAAGACGATGAGCGTGTCAACGATGATGGATGCGGTTGAGGCGGTGGTGTCTCGGCTGTTTGATGCCAAGCGGTTCGTGGAGTGGACCGTGCATCCATGGACCAACATCTTTGACATGTCCTTTTACCAAGTGAGTGCGCGTGTGTATGTGTGTGTGTGTGTTTTTGTGCACGCGTGTGTGTACTTTTGTGTGCCTGTGAGCGTTCTTGCGATTCCTTCACATCACGCTCTCCTCTCCGTGTCATCTTGATCTCGCAGTTGCACCTCAACCCCACACCTCAACCCCCCACCTCAACCCCACACCTCAACCCCACACCTCAACCCCCCCACCTCACCCCGCCGCTTCATTTCCCTCTTCTTTGTCCCCTTCTTGCAGGGCGTCGTGGCGACGATGCTGTGGGCGCTGCTGATTGCCATTGGCCTGGCGTACCTGTGTGCGCTTCGCCAGCAGCGCATCTTCAAGCGCAAGCTGAGCGAGACGCAGGCGAGCTCGCAGAAAGTGGTCCGCAAGCGTGACATTGTGAGGCTTTGGATGCGAAGGGCTGCGCAGCGGGCTGGCTGGCGCAAGGGCAAGCAGCCGACGCTGCCACATGCCGGCGCCGCGGGTGGCGTGCCTGCCAGGCCCCGGAAATACCGCCAGAAGCGCGCGTACGTGTGCGCGTGTATGGTTGTTTGTGCGTGTTGCATGTATGGTTTTGCGTTTGCTCGTGGAGTTGCGTGTATGTGTGTGCGTGTGTGTGCGTGTGTGTGCGTGTGTGTGCGTGTGTGCATGTGTGCGTGTGTGCATGTGTGCGTGTGTGCGTGTGTGCGTGTGCGTGTATGCGTGTGGTTGTTTGCGTGTCATAATCAACTCTCTCTCTCTCTCTATCACCTCATCACCCCCCTTCTCACCAACAATTGAATAGGCTGGTGCGAGCGACAAAGAGGCTACTGGGCCTGTCACGCAACAAGGACCGAATGAATCAGCTCATCCCCAAGCAGCCGTCCATGAGCCAGCTCGAGCCAGCGGTGCGTACACTGGAGGTGTTTTGCTTGGGAAGTGCGTGCGTTTGGTGTTGCACATGCGTTTTGTGTTGTGTTGTGTTGTGTTGTGTTGTGCTGGATTGTGCTGGATCATATCTAATCACATGGAGTGATACGTGACCTGTAACTTCTGTAACTTCTGTTGTGTGCAGCCGCCCAGCGCCAAGACGAGTGGCATTCCAAAGGAGATTGAGTGAGTCGAGAAATATACGGGAGGCAGGCGTGCAGGATTGTGTGTGGAGGCATACACGAGTTGTTGTGGGTTTATTTGAGGATCGCATGCACAGGCTTCATACTTGTGAATGTTCCCCTTGTCACCAGATTACACACACACACACACACACACACACACACACACACACACACACACACACACACACACACACACACACACACACACACCCACCCACACACCCACACCCACACCCACACCCACACACACACACACACACACCCACACACACACACACACACACACACACACACACACACACACACACACACACACACACACACACACACACACACACACAGGTTGACTGTGAACAGCATGCGGGTGTTTGGGCACTTTGATGAGACGGTGTTCAGCGAGCTGTACAAGGAGCTCGAAGTGGTGCATCTTGAGAAGGGGCAATATCTGTTCCGTGTTGGCCACGTTGACGACGCCGTGTACATCGTGCAGCAAGGTAGCGGCCCCGTGCTGATGGTGTCGAGGGATGGATGAGTGGTGTGTGATGTGTGGTGTGTGATGTGTGGTGTGTGGTGTGTGATGTGTGATGGGTGATGGGTGATGTGTGGTGTCTTTGAGGTTGGTGGCACTTGCTGCTACTTTCAACGCAAACCATCCTGGTTCCCACCTACACATGGGGCCCGCTCCTCTCACTTCGCACACTCACTCGTAATCGCACCCACACACCCACAATGCACACGCACCGACAATCTCTCTTTTCTCCCCTATTCCCGTTGCATTCCCGTGGCTGCAGGTCGGGTGCAGCTGTGGTGCCGCGATTCTGAGGTCAAAGGCGACAAGGGCGTCAACGGTAGAGGTGCGCACGTGCTCTCGTGCTCGCGTGTGTGATGCTTGTCCTTCGTGTGTGTGTGTGTGTGTATGCGTGTGTGTTACAAGGGCAATGGTTGCTTGCTTTGATATGTGGAAGTATTCTGTGTTTGTGACTCACACACACGCACACACACACACACACACACACGCACACACACGCACACACACACACGCACACACACACACACACACACACACACACACACACACACACACACACACACACACACACACACACGCACGCCCTTCACAGGCATCCTGCTGACTGAGCTTGGCGTTGGCGAGAATGTGTCGTCGCTGCTGTCTGTGGTGGAACGAATGTCCGGTGCGACCACGCCCTACAAAACCATTGAAGCGCGCGCAGCCGAGGACGACACAGCCGTGCGTTGCGTGCATGCATGTTGTGTGCGTACATGTGTGTACGTACAAGTTGCGTGTGTGCTTGTGTGTGTGTGTGTGTGAGCATGTGTGTGAGCGTGTATGTGACATTTGTGCCTGCGTGTGTGGCAGCACAGCCGCGCTGTACCCATCCTTGCTCCCATCATTCACACCACCACCACCACCACCGCTCTCATGTGTTCAGGTGATTCGCATTTCTTACGACTGCTTTCTCGGCATTGTTGGCCGTCACCACGAGGCGTACAGGCAGCTTGTGCAGGTGCGTGTTTGCATACGTGTTTTACATTTGTGTTTGCATGCGTGTTTGCACATGTGTTTTACATGCGCGTGTACATTGTGTTGGCACTTGCGCTGACCTTGCCTTTGGACCATGTGTCACTGCTACACCCGTTCTCACCTCACCTCACTCACACCCCTTTCCTTCCCCCTCCCTCAACAGGTGGTGGCCACGCGGCTGCAGCGTGCTGTGTTTGTCACGTTGCACCGCTTCATGGGTCTGAGCGTGGAGTTGACGCACGTGCCGTGTGATCCGCCCCCTCTCCCGGAACTGAAGCACCCAACCGTCACCCAATCAGACCTTGAAGATGTTAAACGCTACCAGGACCGACTTCGCGACGTTTGCGCAATCATGGCCCAACGCATTGGCAGTGACGACCTTGGCCCCATGCTGGCGAAAGTGTGCAAGTTCAGGGCGTGCAGCACGGGCGAGACCGTCGTGGAGCAGGTGTGTGCTTGTATGTGCGTGTGTGTGCGCGCGCGTGTGTGTGCGTCTGTGACGTCTATGTTGTGTGCATGTGGATGTGGATGTGTGTGTGTGTGTGGATAGATGTGGATGTGTGTGTGTGTGTGGAAATATATGTGTAGATGTGTGTGTGTGTGTCTGCGTCTATGACGTTTATGATGTGTGTGTTCGTGCATGTGGATGTGTGTTTTGTGTCTGCGGCGTGTATGTTGTGTGCACGCTTCGTGTGTTCCACCACCCACTTTGCCCTGACCCGACCGCCCACTCATGTCTCATCTGCATCTCCACCTGTCACCGAAACGGTTCAGGGTGCGCGTGACTGTGACATCTTCTATGTTGTGCGTGGATCCCTGAGCACGTTTATTCCAGCGCGGTCGGGCGATGGCGAGGAGTTTGTGTTCAAGGTGAGGCAGACACGCATGCACGCTGTGGTGTGCATTGGGGATTTGTCGTGCACCGTGTGTGTTTGTTTTTCACACGTTGCACTCGCTTGATGGTTTGTCACTGACCTTCATTCGGCAACCACGTCCTGCTCCTACACATCATCAACCTTGCATCATTGTATCACCACCACCACCACCACCTCAGGTGAGCGCAGGGCAGTGTATTGGCGAGCTGTCTGTGCTTTCGCGCATCGAATCATCGATAACTGTTCGCGCCGACGACGATGCCCTCCTCGTCAGAATTCCAAAGTGAGATGCCGGCGCGTGTGTGTGTGTGTGTGTACGTGTGTGTGTGTGTACGTGTGTGTGTACGTGTGTGTGTACGTGTGTGTGTACGTGTGTGTGTACGTGTGTGTACGTGTGTGTACGTGCGTGTACGTGCGTGTACGTGTGTGTGCGTACGTGTGTGTGAGTGCGTGTGTGTACGTATGTACACACTCATCGTTCATCATCGCCATCCTTCATCACCGCCACCCCCCTCTTGTTCCCCCCCCCCCTCACCAGTGCTGCTGCGCAGAAACTGCTCTCTGAAAAAGCAGGACGGCCTCTTCTCGACCACCTCATCACCGTACGCTTTAGCCACTGCCGTGATGCATGTTGTCTTGGTTGTCGTCTTGGTTGTCGTCTTGGTGGTTGTTGTCGTCGTGCCTGTAGCGTTGAGCGAACACGTTGTGTCCAGCTTGCCCCAGCCTGTAACAAACCATCCTTTCACACACACACATTCACAAACACACACACACACATTCACAAACACACACACACATGCACACACACAACCCCCCCTTTCCAACCGTTTTGGGGTGCAGATTACGCTGAGTGCCATCAGCCCACTGATCCGACAAGTCGACTTTGCGCTGGACTGGCCGCACTGCGCCGCTGGCGACGTGGTGTACAGACAGGATGAGCCCGCCAAGGACATCTACATCGTGCTCTCCGGTCGACTTCGGTCTGTCGTCAAGGTATGGTCGTGGGATGGGCGGGGGGACGTGAGTGAGTTGGATTTGGGTTGGAGGGTGTGCTTCGGGGTGCATGGGATGGGTGAAGAGAGCTTGTGTGGCACGCATGGGGTTGTTCAAGTGAAGTCAACTGTTTGGTGCGTTGTTCCGCGTTGTTCCGCGTTCACACACACACACACATCATGCAGCGGCAAGACGGAACGCGTGCGATTGTGCGCGAGCACGGGCGAAACGACCTTGTGGGAGAGGTGGAGGTGCTGACGGAGACAACGCGAGCAACCACCGTCCACGCCGTTCGCGACACCGAACTCGTCAAGGTGATTATGGCCCGGCAAGGGGAGCGGGGATGCATTGGTTGATGGAGTGGTGCTGGTGGTGGCATGATCATGGTCGTGGTTGAGGTGACTGTGTTGGTGTGAGCATGCTGTGCCTGCTGACTTGAATTCCTTGGTTAGCACTGACAAGAGGACACATGTGCACACACACAACCATACATACACACACACATACACACACACACAACCATACATACACACACACACCACGCGCAGGTGCCTGCTGGCATGCTTGAGCTGATCAAGGCAAAGTACATTGAGGTGGCAACGCACCTCATGCGACTGCTGAGCGAGCGACTGCTGTCTATTGTGCAGGGCGGCGACAACGAGACAAAGGCGCCCGGCTTCTCAACGGTTCGTGCTGTGTGCACATATGCGTGTGTGCATGTAGTGCTCTGTACGTGTAGGTGCAGTGTTCTGTACATGTATGCGTGTGCGTGTGCACTGCATGATATGTGCTAGAATAGCCTTCAATCTGCGTACACTACAACTACACCGGTGTTGTCGTCTTTATCACTGTCTCTCTCTCTCTCTCCAGGTTGCACTTGTGCCGGCAACACCCGACGTGCCCCTCCGCGCATTCGCACAGAAGATCGGTGCGTGCGCGCGTGTGTGTTTGTGAGTGAGTGTGTGTGTGCATATGTGTGCGTGCGTGTGCGTGTGTTGGCATGTGATGTCCAACGTCATTTCAGTTGTCTCGCTTTGCTCACATGCACGCACACACACATATACACACTCGCGATGACACTTCCACGCTGTTTAGATGCTGCGCTGAACCTCTATGGCCCTTCGCTGCTGCTGAATCAGGACATTGTGCAGGAGAAATTCGGAACAAACCCCCTGCAGGTGTCCGGGTTTCTGGAATCACAGCTCATCACGTGAGGGCATGGAATGGATGGTATTCTTACATGTGTGCGAGTGCGTGCATGTGTATATGTGTTTGCATGTGTGTGGTCGTGTGCGTGCGGTCGTGTGCGTGCGTATCGATGCGTGTGCGCATTGATTCAATCCGCTTTCCTTTCTTTCACACACTCACTCGCTCACACACTCACTCACTGACTCACTCACTCACTGACTCACTCACTCACTGACTCACCACCACCACCGCCATCGTGGTCACCAGGTGGCTTGCCCAGGAAGAGGATCGTTACAGCGTTGTCGTGTATGAGGCCGATCCAACGCTCACCGCGTACGTCAACGACGCAAATGCGTACCATCTCTTCAAGTTGTTTTGCTTTCTCGCTCATCGTGTTCGTGTGGTAGCTGTTGTAGACACAGCGTTTCCACAACGTGACACATGTGTTTTTCCACTCACCTCCGTACATTTATGTGTCTGCGCACACATGTGCATGTATGTGCGGTTTACACGTGTGTGCATGTGTGTGGTGTTGTGTGTGTTTGTGTGTATGTACATGTGTACAGGTGGACACGTCGCTGTGTGCGCCAGGCAGACTGCATCCTCATTGTCGCCCTCGGCAACAACAGCACGGAGCCGGGACAACTGGAGCTCGAGGTAACGTGGCTGGCGGTGTTTGTGCATGTAGCGTTCAACGGCTAGTGGTGGCGTGCATTGAGTTGAATGGGTGGTTGGTGAGCTCGAGTGGTGCCGTGACTGTGTCATGAGAGCAAGCTGTGGTTATTGAAGGAGTGATTCTTGTTTAACTTTCGCGTTCATCCTTCCACTTGCTATCCCCACCACCACCATCGCTACCCACTGCCGCTCACTGCCACCCACTGCTACTGTGTTGCTCTCCCAACAACCAGCTTGAGCACATGTCGCAGCGCGCCCAGAAGGAGCTGGTGCTGCTGTATCCGAGCAACCAAGTCAGCCCGACAGGGACCGCCAAGTGGCTCAACAAACGATCCGTACGTCAACCGCAGATTGCGATGGTGGCGGTTGTGGTGGTGATAATGGTGGTGGTGATATTGGTGGTGATGATATTGGTGGTGGTGGTGGTGGTGGTGGTGGTGGTGGTGGTGGTGGTGGTGGTGGTGGTGAATGGTACGAGTATGCTGACGATGGTGTCGGAATGGCGACGGTGTTCGTGTCCTTTTGTGTGGTGACTTCTCATGCACACATGCCAATGCACACTGGTTCTTTCTCGCTTCGCTCACGATCAACCCTCTGTCCATCACCAATCATGACAACCACAACCACCAACCACAACCATCAACCACCAACCACCAACCACAACCACCTTCAATCATCCACCACCCACCGTCCAACAGTGGTGCAGCTTCCACCACCACATCCGCTGCTGCGATTCCGTGCTGCCGCCCGGACAGCAGAGCAACGACCGCCGCACTCTCCTCGACTTTCTCCTCGACACGAGCCAGCTCCCGGTGCGCTGTGCGTGCGTGTGCGTGCGTGTGTGTTTGCGTTTTGGGTGGAAGCGGGTGGATTTGTGCACGCATGCGCGCACCACGCACATGTGTACGTGGTGCCTTTTACGTTCTAGGAGCTGTGCATCAATCAACTGCAGTCTTGCTGCTTCACTCCTCAAAGCACACACACACACACACACACACACACACACCTTTAACACCACTTCTTCTCAACGTACATTTATGCTGCACCACGGCACCGTGCATAACCTCAACTCAAACAGGAGGAGTTTCAAGATGAAGCCACACGCTCAGGCCACGATGACAGCGACAAGAACGCACCATCAACATCAGCAGCAGCAACAGCGACCACGACTGACGAACCACCCGTGACACCAACGACCCCGGCACCGCCGAACGATGACGTGCGCCTGAATCTGGAGCTGTCGCACTACGGCCGCCTAGCTCGCCACATCAAGGGCCTTTCCGTCGGAGTGGTGAGAGGACCCATGTGCGTGTGTGTGCGTGCGTGTGCGTATGTGTGCGTGTGTGCGTGTGTGCGTATGTGTGTATGTGTGTGTATGTGTGAATGTGTGTGTGTGTGCGGTTGTACTCCTGTGCGTGTGTTCGTGAATGCACGCGCGCGTTATCATGACGATGGATTCTGACCACCAGTTGCATTCCTTCATCACCTCAACCCACCACCATCATCTGCTCACATCACCCCTTTCCGACCGCCTCCCCCCTGCCATATTGGCATCAGGTGCTCGGTGGCGGCGGTGCGCGCGGTATTGCACACGCGGGCGTTCTCCGCGTCCTCGAGACAACAGGTGTGTACTTCGTGACCAAGCCGTGGTGGTGGTGATTGGTGGTGGTGATTGGTGGTGGTGGTGGTGGCAAGTTGGGGTTTACGGTTCACCGTGTGTGTCTCTCAACAAGGTTGCGCTTTCGTTGGAGTCATCATTATCATCATCATCACCACCCCCTCCTCCTCTCCCTCCTCTACCACCACCACCCCCACCTCCTCTCCCTCCTCTACCACCACCACCACGACCACCAACCACCTCCATCACCTGTTTGGTTGTGGCTGTCACAGGTGTTCCTGTTGACATGATTGGCGGGACAAGCATTGGCGCATTTGTGGGCGCTCTCTACGCAGACGAAGACGTGAGTGAGGCACAGATTGTGCGGCCGAGGTGCTGGGATTGCTGCGCGTGTTCGTTGTTGTGGTGGTTGATTAGGTGTCGTCGTTGCTGATGTGACTTGCTTTGCACATG